CGAGGTCTGGCGGGGTCTGGCGGGGGTCTCGCGGGATCTGGCGGGGTCTCGCGGGGTCTGGCACTTGTAGGGGCTCCACTTGCGTGCTCGTCGTCGTCAGCCTAGGGAGACTGCTCACGATGAGCAGTCACACGGAACGTAACAGGAGGAGGACCCGCTTACTCTGCTCTCCCGCCATCACCCAGCCGCCCGCGCCCGCCGCCCGCCGCCCGCCTTCCGTCGGCCTGCTTCTCGTTACGTGTGTTGGCGCTGCCAGAGAGCTTTCAGTCGCCGGGAGAGGGGAGGACGGAGAGGGGGCGTCCAGGCTGCCGTGGGGTTGGGCTTGGGTGTGTCGCAGGCCTGTCGTGACATGCAGTCCTGCTGACACGGGAGGCGTGAGCGTATCTGCCGGGCGCGATCAGCGGCCCAGAGCCTGGTGGCCCGGCTCTCAGGGGAGACACGCGGATGGCGGCCCGAGGGCTCTCACTCGCGGAGCCGTCAGGAGTCTCACGCGGACCCTGTAGCCTCCAGCGCAAGCTTCACAAGTGTTAGCGACCGAAGGGGCCGTGGAAACGTTACAGTCACTCTACGTTTTAGGGTGATTGTGGGCCCCCGTCCCCACGGTGGCGTCCAGCCTGGAGACGAGGACGTGTCTCAAGGAACGGCCATGGCCTCCGTCCCGTGAGGGGTGGACGCTCCCGGCCGGTCCAGGAATTGCCCGGTGACCCGGGGGCCAGCGCAGCCCCGGGAACCCCACAGAGCGGGGGGCGCACGTGGGTAGAGGACTGCGCTTGGCCGGCGAGTGCGTTTGTCCCAGACGCTTGCCCTCCTCGTGGGCTTTCACGGGCCGCGGCCAATCGTGTCCCCACACTTGGCAGAACTTATCTCCGGCCTGTGAGGCCGTCCTACGTCACACGGCAGGTGCAGCAAATGTTAACAGCTGGTGAATTTTAGGCGGATGGCGTATCAGGTTCCTTGTACTTTTCTGTCAGCTTTTCCAGAGTTCGAAATGTTTTGTTTTGTTTTTTTAAAGATTATATTTATTAGAGAGACAGCGAGAGAGGGAACACAAGCAGGGGGAGTGGGAGAGGGAGAGGCAGGCTTCCGGCCGAGCAGGGAGCCCGATGCGGGGCTCGATCCCAGGACCCTGGGATCATGAC